TTGAGCATGTCCTTCAAATGAGAGCCAGCACATCTAGATCCAATATTATATAATCATAAGGTTGTTTTAGTAATGTAGGACAAGCAAAGAGTTCCCTTCTCAGATCACACACAAAGAACAATCAATTTTAGTGATGCAGGACATACAAGAAAGACCACTCATCTGATCACAAACAAGAGGCAATCAAGTGATTAGTGTACCTGTATTTTATTTTATTCAATTGTACTTTATTTTATTTCAAATAATGGGTGGGGGCCAGCTATCTAAGAATTGAAATGAATATCATATCTCAAAATCAATTTGAAAATACTTCAATCAACCCACAATTGAGGATTCATAATTACAAAAAAAAAAAGATTTAAGTCAAATTTCAAGTGTTTACTTTGTTTCTAAAATTAGAGATTATTTCAAGGGGGAAGGCCACCTTTTTTAGCAGTAATTTCTGTGGAGGAAATTTCCAAGATATTTCCATACTTTATTGTCACTCGTGTCTTATTTAATGCACATATTTCAATGAGAAAAAAGGTATTTTGATTGGTTGTAAAGGTGTGTTCTATTATGGATGGATGCAGCTGGCTTTTGGATTTGTTTAAGAACAACCAAAGTTGCAGTTTAAAAGTCCTAGCAGATCCTCCTCTCCCTCGTTTCTTGTCATCCTAATCCTCTCCCAACTTCTCAAGATTCTAAACCCCTGCCTTTACTCATAAAATCGAGCCGAAGCCCCTCTCAAAAGTCAAAATATGGTCTCGTAACAACTGTGACCAGTCAACTTCCAAAGCCAATATCACCCATCCCATTTAACCAATTGAACTAACAACACCTAAATTTGTTTCCAACATCACAAACCTCTGAAATGGAGGCCCTCTCCCCTTCTAAGTAAGGGAAATCCCCCTTTATTGTTACTCTCGTGTATTATTTATATACCACCTTTCAACGAAGAAAAGGCCTTTTCCATTGGATTCAGGTAGCTTTTGGAATCATTTAAAAACCAACAAAAGTTATGATTTTAAAACCCTAGCATATCCTCCTCTTCCTATTCACTTTTATCTTGACCCTCCCGCACCTTCTAGAGACTTTATACCTCTTCTTTCACTCATAAAACTGAACCAAACCCTCCTCCAAAAGTCATAACCATCCACAAACAATAACCCTTCCACCATTTTTTCACCAACTCTATAAACCTTTTCAACGCCTTCCCATCATTTGGCACTCGAGAAAAAAAATCCAAAAACTCTTTACAGATCTCCTATAAGAGGGAAAATTATCAATCCTAGGAGGCACATTGGAAAGCAAGACTGAATTTCTAAGGTTTTCTTCCAGGAAAGAAGAACTTTGGATTCAAAAGGAGATCTTCTTATAACAAAATCTTCATCATCATAAAAAGTATCATCACTTGTAGTTTAGAGACAAATCGAGCAAGGTCTTCAATCTCTGAGTGCAGGAGCACTCGAGCAAAGTGATACCTTCTCTAATAAAGGCTTCCTTGAAGAAGAACACTACCACCAAAGAATTGTTGTTGGTATTGGTGACCCCGTCACTTCAGTAAGTCTTAAATTTTCCTCATTTCAGAGTCCCATATATGGCCAAAAATAAATAAATAAATTTATATAAATGCCATAATTCTTCTGCTTTCACATATCTAACACCTAAAGTTTGATATTTACATTTAGAACACCTTGGTATTAAAAACTCATGCATGAAAAGGTGTATTTCACTTTTAAAAAGTTAGCAATGGTGATATTTTTGATGTGATGTCAAAGATTTGAGTTTTACATATGTAAATATGAAAATTTAGGTGCTAGATAGGTAAATATATAATAATTTTGTGGTTTGTATGTAAATGCCCCCTAAAATTACAAAAGGCAGCATGTTGGAATGCAGCTTCATGGTTATCGCATAAACCCTAACTAGTAGCCTCTATCAATCAAAGTAAAACCAACTTTTCATGTAGCCCATTTGGCCAGGTGGTTGAGAACTTTGTCTCCAACTTGAGATCTTGAGTTCAAGGCCTACCACAAATAGACATGTGCATGAGTTAAAAAAAATGTCAAACCAATTTTCCTATTCTACACAAACCCTTCAAATCCACTCTTGGATGTAACCCTTGGTGAGGAAGAATTCCACATAAAAAATTCTTTGGCATTAACCTAGAATGCAATTTTTTTCCATATAAACTTCATTATATTTAATTTTGTGGTATAATTAGCTTTATTTTGTACATGCAAAATTACCATAGTTCTTTAAATTTGCTAGTGCAGTAGCTTGTAGCCAAAAAAACAAGAAAAAAGATGAAGATATACTAAGAAAAATCCTTTTTGCATATGGGGTTATGTAAAAGAGAGCATGAAATTTAAGTGGCCTCCATGCCCCTTTTTCTTAAACTGGAAAGTTACTTAAACTGGAAAGTCCTTTTAGACAAGGATCACTTTGGGGCAATTTTCTTATTGATTTGTTTTTCAAATAGCAACCACACCTCCATTTAGCTATTGTTTTCTTGCTTATTATTAAAATTATCTAAGGTAAGAATCCACTTTTTACTGCCAGATCTATTAAAACATGACAGTTGCAAGAAAACTGCTGTTCAAATTTTTTCAAAAAAAAAAGTTTATAATACCCACAGCTTTAAGAAATTTATTTTCTCACAATAGCTTTAAAATCACATTTATTTAAAGTTGCAAGCGCTACAAAAAAATACAGTATATTATACTTCTCTTAGTTCATATTTTCAAAGTACTATTGCATCTCAATCGCCGCCATGCCACCCAAGTTGGCAACCCTAAATCAAGTAGAGAATCTTAAAATGAGATTCGGAGAATCAGAGTTTAACATGGAAGGAAAAAACCATGAGAATGATAAAATTTATATAATATAAATGACAAATTTAGCAAACTTAAAAAAAAATTCTTAAAACAAGTTTTGCTAAACCAACAACAAAGTCAAGCACCAAATCATAATTTTGAGGATGACCTAGAATCCAACCCTAACATCAACACAAACACTAGAATGCCTCACAACCCAAGACAACAACATAGGGAAAAATCGTTCTTTGACCAAGATAGAATAATAAAAAATGAGAATATACTTTTGATGGTTCTTAACCCAAATAAATGTCTAGATTATCCAAATTAATGAAGTATTTGGTCTATATAAGATGGAAGACTACCAAAGGATAAATTTTAATAAACTTAGATTAACTAGTCATGTAAAGATCTATTGAGACATTGTTTTGCCCTAGGAGGAAAGTAATGGTAGAAGAGTCCTTACTTTGGAGAAAATGAAATGAAGGCTTAGAACCAAGCTCTACTATTGGACCACATCCTAATGCAAGGTAGCATAGTGATTGAGTTTCTTAATAGTTTTGAAAGAAACAGTTGTTTGAACAATATGAAAGTGTACAATAATGCTCTCCTCACCTTCCGCGCCCCAATTCAATGTGATCAACTATAATATAGGGATTGAGCTGGGCACGGTGTCACATACGGCCCACGAAGGAATCAATGTAACATAAAAAAAATTACTTCTAAGATATTTCAATATTGTAAACCATTTTAAATTATTTTAGTTTTCTTTTATGTAATTATTAGAAATATGTTTATTTTGAATTAAATGATAAAAGATTAAGAGTTATCTAAATTTAAATTCAAATGATGTTATTTTAAGCTTAAAAATCCTACCCTATAAATATAAGTTGAATGGTTCTTATTTGGATAATTGAATTTGAAAAGACTTCACCCATTTCATTCTCTCTCCTCTCTCTAAATCACACTCCAATATTCTTCTACTCTTAATCCCTGTTTCGTAGAAAATTGAATCTCTCTCTCTCTCACACACAAATGCAATTCAAGGAAGTCAACTTTTCCTCTCATATTGCATTTCACAAATACCAATAGAATTTCATATGCACCTCTCTCTCACCCTTAGGGTTAAGAGTCATTTCATAGAGCTCGAAGGGAAAAAAAAACTCAACTTCTTGAAAAACCAATGCCCAATGAAAAAAGAAGGGATACGGACGGGGCATAAGA